ATTGGACAACTATTTTTGTGTTGGCTGTTGTCATTGTTTTTATTTGACAATCTAAGGGAAAATGTCCCTGACTAACTGATCAGGTATTGCATGTTTAAAAAATTTTTGTAGCACACCAGTGTGCCTCTTTCAGTACACTGGTTGAAAATCACTGCTCTAGTGCCCTGGCTGGTGTGACTCAGGAAGCTGGGCACCAGCCTATGGACCAAAGGGTCACAGGTTGGACTCCCAGTCAGGGCACATGCCTGGGTTGTGGGCCAGGTCCCCAGTTGGGGGTGTGCAAGAAGCAACCACACATTGATGTTTCTCTCCCTTTCTTCCCTTCTCTCTAGAAATAAATATATAATTTTAAAAAAAGAAAAAAGAAAATCACTGTTATATGCAGTCCATGAAATTATTATTCTTTTCTCCCTTTCTTCCTTCTCTCACTTTATTTATTTTTCTTTGTTAGAGAATGTAGCATTTACATACTAGTCTACCTTGATGACTAACTTTATTATTTATTAAATATATTTATTATATGCATTATATAATGATATATAAATGAATATTCATTAAATAGATATATTTACTTACAAAAATATATTAAAGATATATTAATTGCTTACCACTAGTCTTGTGGCTGAAGTTTGTCTTCCAGTAGAATTGTCAGGAATTCTACTAGAATACTGATTGTGAAAACAATATTCTCTGCGTTCTTATGTGTTTAAAATAGCTTTTTCTATTAACCTGAAACTTGAAGGAGGACTTGAATGGATATAAAATTCTTGTTCATACTTGCTTTCTAAATATTTTTAAAAATACTACTTCATTATACCTATTTCTGTGTTGTTTTTATAAAGATTAGACATCTGATGTTATATTAAATGCTATTGTAAATTCAATTAAAAAGTTCTACATTAAAATTAAAATTATTTGTTTTTATTGTAACAATGTGAACACCAGCTTTCTTGGAGCACAGTGCCATGATATGATTTTCTTACCAAATTAAGGAACTTAGGAAGTAAAGATGTACTTGGGATTAGTGGTGGTACATGTATAATTGTGTTTACTTAAGCTGTGATGGTGTACTAATTAAAATAGAACTCCGTGGGAATTTGAAAACATTTTTTTACAACAATAAACCATCTTGGCTGGTGTTGCTCAGTGGACAGAGCGCTGGCCTATAAACCGAAATGTTGTGGGTTCAATTCCCAGTCAAGGGGCATTTATGAGTTGCAGGCCAGATCCCAGGTTAGGGGCATAAATGAGGTAACCAATAGATGAGAAGCAACCAATCTATGTATTTCTTGCATGTTGATGTTTATCTCCCTCTCTTTCTCCCTTCTTTCCCCTCTCTAAAAAATATACAAGTAAAAAAAGTATTAAAAATAACTAAAATGAATTTGGTGGAGGGGAGCCTATGCTGAATGAAAAACAAAATTATGAAAAAAAAGTAAAACCTTATTATGGTAGTACATGTTTTCTTTTAGGTTTTTTGCATTCATCAAACTTTTAGAAGTGCCCTGAACTTATTTCATTACTCTGTAAATCAATATAAATGTCCTACAGATAATACTGCATATATTGTGATAGATTCTCCCAATATTTGGTTACTTTTTTTCAAAATAAGCTGAACATCTTTAACCAAAATAGTTCATACATTTAGATTGCTTACAACTCCAGCTTTTGAAGTCCTTAGTGAATTGGAATTTTAAAAGAAAGATTACAAACAAGAATACATCAGAATTTATCCCTACAAAGCCTGGGAGAAAATAAATCATAAACAGAGAAGAAGGATTAGAGATGATAATTTTATATATTAAAACCCGTACATTTATGCTTATACTCTTTAGCACACACACACTGTTATTTGAAGAGTTCAGCTTTGGTAATGCTACTCATATTTGAATTTCCAATATTGGCAGCAGTCTTAATGCAAGAAATTTATTAAATCCTCACATCAAAATTGTAAAGTACATTTTTTAAAATTTTATTTTAATTGTTGTTGCAATACAATTTTCTATATTTTACTCCCATCCAAACCCACCCACCCAGCCCTCCCCTCCTTCCTCCCACTTCCACCTGTAAAGTACATTTTCTTACAATAAATTCATATTTATTTTTACTCTAAAAATTTTTCATTCTAACGTGGTGTCCTTATTAGTTTTAACAGCATCACAAAACAGGAGGTAAGAATCATACACATTTTTCCCCTTCTCATATTCTCTCGGGCCACCATCTTATTCCAGTCATTGTGGATGAACTGAAAACATCTCATCTCATCTGCATGACATACCTTCCTCTCTCTAGTCCCAGGCTTCTCTGGTGCCATTGTGTAAAATGACTGATAGAGTCCAGTCAGCCATTCAGATGCTTACCAAACTTGAAAGTGGGAAGAGTAAAGAGCTTAGTTCGGCTGTTATATTGTACATATGAGGGGTAAATGAAATGTTTTGTAGGTTTGAAGAAATTAACAAAAATTTTAAAGTGTGTTGCTGACTAATTTATTTGTAGCCCACTTTAAAAATCTCATAAATACAGAAATAATCACTAAGCATTCCAGTTTCTATAAAATTTTATATGCGTGTTTCCAATTTTGGATTATTCTAGACTACATTTTTCTCTGTTTTTTTTTATCCTAACCTGAAGACATGCTTATTGATTTTAGAAAGAGGGGAAAGGAGAGAGGGAGAGAGATTGGGAGAGAAACATCAATGAGAGAAAAAGATCTAATGGTTGTCTCACATGCTCCCCAACTGGGACTAGACCTGCAACCCAGAGATGTGCCCTGACTGGGAGTCAAACCTGTGACTCTCCAGTTTACAGGATGACACACACTTCAACCAACTTAAGCCACACCAGCCAGGACTCTAGACTATATTTTTTCTAAAAGGAAACCTCATTTATATCATCCTTCCTTCCAAACAAGGAACTTTCACAGTTTTTAAATTGTGGATAACAAAGAATATTTTTAAAGACTATCAAGACATAGAAATTTACTTTATATGTCTAACTAAAATGTGAGATCCTTGAAAGCAGGTAGTTTGTTTCTTTATTCACTATTATATCCTGAAATTTTAGAACAATGACTGACATTAGATAGATATTCAGGAAATATTTGTTGAATACAATAAATGAATGAGTTTATATGTACTCAATAGGAAAATAGCTAAAAGATGGGAAATTCACAATTAAATTATCACTGAAGTTTTCTTTGCATAATTTGGAGAAAAATCAAACCAAAAAATTAAGTATAGAAATTAATTTAGAGATATTTATATTGCAACAAACAAAACAATATTAAACTCCAGAAAGAATAGTCCATATAAATTGAAAAGGAAGTTTGCATGAAAGCAGCAGAATAATACTTTTAAATGTTTAAAGGTTAAGTTGAAATATATTTCATTTTAAAAAGCAAAAAATTTAACTATGGATAATTATATACTCAGTCTTGCAAAGCTTAAACATTGTTATACAATGTAAATGTTTTTTTTTTTTTGCCACAAGGTGGTAGCAAAGATTTATTTTAGAATCACTGGACACCCTCAGTCAATTATACCAAATGATGTAGTACATCTTTAAAAGCCATAATGCATAAGGAATGTAGAGAATACACACACACACACACACACACACACACATATTTCCTTGGTGGTACCATTTCATCAGAAAGATTTTATCATTGGTGCCTAGAATTTCTATGGCTGTTTATACTTGCCTCCTCTCAAACTCTCCATTTCCATTGCATTTTGCACATTTCAGATTAATCATACACTACAAATCTGCTTTAAAACTTCAATAATTCCCTTAACCATACATAATTTAAAAATTATTATATTCACTCAACCAATTCAGTAACTATATTCTATTTACAAGACACTGTGATAGGCACTAGGAATGAAAACTAAATACATGAAACTTTGCATTTTGGGATTTACAAACACGTAAAGATAAAGCTACAACAAATAACTAGAAAATGTCTGATTTGAGGACTGGGGATGACAAGTGAGTTTGACTCTGGGCTTCTGGGTCTGAGATTCAGGAAAAATATCTGGACTTGAGAGAGAAGTTTGACAATTATCAACATGAAAGTATATTGGAAGAGCATATAGATATAATTTGTGAATTTGTTATTTACTTCAATTTTTATACATAACTGCCAAAATATTTAAAAACTATAGAAGTGATTAATGCAAAATTCACTCAGAATATCTTCATTGCCTGCTAACATTTTGATATACATATTTTCAGACTTATCTCACACATAAGCACAACTTACATGTTCATGCTCTATATATCTATCTGTATGTAGAAATAGAGCATAAAGGGGGTCCTCTTACACATCCTGTTTTTGTAAATGCAATGCACTTGATAAGAAGTGGGAGGTAGAGAGGTCAGTGAATGAGACTAAAAAGGAAAAGCCAGGAAACTATATAAAATCAGAAGAATAGCCACGTATGGCGAGATTTGAATGACTTTTAGGAATGAAACAATAATTTGGTTTTAAATTCTGCAGAGTGATTAAATGAGAAGAACAATCAACTGGATTTGGCAATTAGCATCCTGGGTGGTGAAGTCGGCTCAAGCAGCTTTAGCCAGACTGCTAGGGGATAAAGAGGGATAAGAAGCAGAGGATCAGTGGCAGCAACTTTTCCTGTGAGAGGATTCCTTTGAAAAGACAGGATTGGCTGCTTCTGCCAACTCCTGCTGGCTCAACCCACACGACCTCTCCTGTTCCCTTTGTGCCCACTGGAGTGGCCTGGATGTCTGCTGCCCCCAATGCCCCCACCCCTGGCACGTGACCTGGGTGCCTGACTCATCTTGGGATGCAGGGTAGGCTTCAGTCAGGGGTTTAGGGCAGGTGCCCCCAAGGTACTCCCTGGCTGCCCCTGGACATGATACTCGACCATCTAGATGGAGGCTGCTGTGGTGGCATCGCTGGCTTCTGATCAATCAGCTTCCTCCAGGAAGTCCTTTTGTGTTGAAAGAGACCACAAATGATGTGGAGGGCATGCAGCATGGCAGGAAACAGAGAGCACTGCGGGACCATCGAGACTGAGCTGGATCCAGTGGAATACACCCTTCAGAAGTGGTTGCCCCACCGCCTGCCCCAGAGGCCCAATGACATTTATGTTAATGTGAAGACTGACTTTAAGGGCCAACTGGCCTGCTGCCAGAAGCTGCTGGACAGGGGGTCATGGGGTCAGAATGCATGCATTGGGAGCTACATTCATGGCTTGGGCCTGGCCATCAACCATGCAATCTGCATTGCCCCACAGCTTCAGGTGGGCAGCTCCGGGTCCTTGCAGGTGGCTGCCCATACCTCCATAGTGAAGCTTGCTGATGAGCTGGAACCAGAGACTAGTACACAAGAGCCATTGACCCACATCAGAAACAACTCGGCCACCCACACCCCAGTCTTCAGGGTTACACTCGAGTAATAAAATGAGTCTGGCTCACCTCCTCCATCTACCTACCCTCAGCTAGGCTCAGGTATGACTCTCCTTGTACTGAGTACTGCCATGGACCTCCTACTAGAGCCATATAAGGAAAAGCTTGCCGATTCATAGCCCAAAGGACTCTGAATTGACAGGGGGAGAGTGTCTCTTGTTGGGCCCAAGCAATGGGCCTACCTATCTTTGTGGTCTGTAACCAGCCATTGTCCTAGGCAATAAAAAAGACTGAATTGTGTTAGTGCCCACGTACCTCACTGCCATAGCCTCTCCCCTGTGTAAAGTCTGTGTGTACCTGAAAAGGAGAGTAGGAAACTTGGTGAGTGTTTAGGTGCAGGAGGGGAACCTGAGTGCCTTCCCAGAGAGTATAGATTGTAAAATAGACCATGTATCATAAACTTTAGCACATTGCAAAAGAAGCCTGGCAACCCAATGTTTGCTTTAAAATTTCTCATTATCTCAGAGGCAGGCTGAATGGGTAAGGTATACGCTCTCGCCTGCTGAATGCAGCTGGGATAGTTTTATGCTCAGGAGCATCAGGCTCTGGTAGAGATTCTCAGGCACAGGAAAGGTGAGGATTTAATAATGCATCAAGCTCTGTGGTAGGAACTGACATATGGCTTCCTTTGCTTCCTGGTCCTGTGGGCCCAAATTGTGCCAAGCAGCTATGATCCAGAGCCCTTGAAACCCTTCTGGCTGGGCTGCTCTAGTGGGAAAGGAAAGCCTTCTTTCTGAACTACTGGGCACACAGATAATAAATACTTTTTGTTTGGGTATTTTTTAAAAGATCTGATCTTACATTTATCAAACAAGAGTCATCTAAAGCAATGTTTACCAAAGCGGGTGGTGATCCATTTATGGGTCTTAAAATCATTTTACTGGATCATAGACTTAAAAAGCATGTAAAGGAGTAAAACTTAAGGGACAGTTTTGATGCCACTTTTTCAGTTATCTTGTGTTTATATATACACACGTGTACTAGGTAAAAAAAAAAGAAAAGAAAAAGACAGGATGGTAGCTCCATAGAAAGTCTGAACACAGGAGCAGTTTTTATCGATTAATTGATTTAAATAAAGTAAAAAATACTACAGCATGAATATAATTTGTGAGGAAAAAAAAACCCAGTGGACAGAGATCTAAAATGTTAGAAAAGAATAAATAATAGAACAAGATCCTAGAAATGGCCAGGTGTGGTCAAGAACTAGGCGAAGCATTTGTTTATGCATAGAGAGAATGTTGCTTTTTGTTTTTTGTTTTTCCTTCTCAGGTTAGAGGAAATCATGTGAAAATGAGTGCTAGGTATAGTGAAGTGTTAGGGTATAGCCGTAGAGAGTTCGTATTCAAGGATCTTCACAAGATGGTGTCAGCCCTTTGTTAATTCACTTCATATTATACAAATTGAACTACTTCTTGCCCCAGTGTGTACCATGATTCCACTATGCTTTGTTCACTGCATTCTTTTCTCCAATCTCTTCTTGTTTAAAGCTTATACATTCTTCAAGGTCCAGAACAAATTACACCTCTTACCTGGAGCCCTTCTCACCACATAATCTAGTTCAAGTGCACTCTCATTACCTAAAATTTATAGGTTACCCAGTGAATGTCATCTCCAGAATGGAACCAGTTAGAATGCTAGAGGGAAATAGAATGAGTGTTAAGTGTGATGGTGGTTTAAAGGAGAACCTTCCAGTCCTTTCATGGTCTGACAACAGCAGAGAATCTTAGGCATAGTGGAGGGGTTTCTTTGTTTTAACCTGTCTCAGTAGTTTTAGAAAATATATTAAGTTCTTCTAAAATTCATTTCATTGCACTGCTTTTGAAAGCACAAATTTTAATCTTATATTAAATGTAAAATGTATATTATATTTGATTTGTTAGTAAGAAATGTTTAATTTTTTGTTTCTGCTAAGTTTCCCAAAGGTAATTCTAAAATTGTGTTAAATTATTTATATAATATGTGACTTTTTATCAATATATAAGAAGAATAAAACTAAGAAGAGGAATAAAAGCAGTTGTATATTAACAAATAATTAAAAGCAAGTAATGAGAAAAACCAGGATTTGGACTAAGTAGACCTGACATTGTGTTCAAAGGTATAACCTTGGGCATGTCACATGCTTTCTAACCTTGAAGTAGGTTGTTAGGAGTATCAATTGAGAAAGTTTCTGTAAAAAAGTGTTGTGAACCAAAGACTTGCAAAAGTATTAGTAAAGTTGTTTTAGGAGCATTCATGTAAAAGTATGTCATGGTTTTTATTTTAAAAAAACTTTATTATGTTACACACTTACAAGTTTGACAGATTGACAGTTATAAATTTTACAGATATTTATATTGACAGCAATTTGGTTCTTACTACTAAGCACAAGTTTGACAATTAGAAGTCCCTTAGCAAATGTTTATTAAATTAATAGTGAATAACTGGCTGTATCCTGAATGCTATCAAAATAACTAATTTTGTTTTTAAGGATCAGAGGTCTTTATTATGCTTTAAAAATATACATATAGAATATTTTGTTCAGTTTTTAGCTAACAGGTATTTAACTTCAGATTTTGATTCTCAGATCATTTTGCCTTTTGCTCATGCATATAAAATATTTTCATCAGAACTATTATAAAATTGATTATTTTTATGTGAATATATTTGGAGGAATAGCTGTGATTACATCAGTTTAATCTGTTGATAAATTTTCTCTACACTGTTAACCATTCACGATTTTGCCATTTTAATGTTGAATTTACTGAAATTATTTGCATTAATATAATTTTTTTATTATAAAGGTTTCAACAAGATTTGATCCATTGTTTTCTTGCCTAAATAAAATGTTATTATTTTAACAAGGTATTGGGAATTTTCTTTGGTGGCCATTATTTCTATCAGATCAAATGTGCTTGCATCAAATTTTATATGTCTGTGTTTTACTAGGAATTTTATCTATGTGCAAATTTACTTGCCTGGTAGTATTTCTCCCATCATACTCATTAAAGTTTTAAAGACTGGAAGCTTATGTTTATTTGTTGACTATTCTAAAAATTTATATATAGAGTGATTGCCTTCAAATAGTTTAAGATTAAGCTAATATCCAGGGCTGATTTCTTGTATGGATAAGCCAATTTTTCCTTAGTTTGTCAATCAATCTGTATCTTAGCACTATTTCTAATTCATTTTTTTAGTATATTTATAATGTACCTTCCTTTTCATAAGTCTGCAAAAGGAGTGAGCTTAGTAGATAACACTTAATTAGACATTAAAACACATATTTGGTCAATATTTTGTGGTTCTGAATAATATATGCTTAAGATTCTCTCCATTTCTTTGAATAGTTAAGTTAATAAAGATTATTTTATAGGAAATACTATAATAAAATACAAAGTCTGGCAGAAGTAAGGCCTGCTTGAGTTTGGCCAGTAGGGTAATAATATGGGTGTAATAATTTATACTTTTAATTTGAACATTTAACCTAAAACATAATATGGTGTGCTTGAGTGTGATGTTGTTGTTACAGAATTACATGCTTATGATTTTGTAACAAAAGATGTAATAAAAAAGTGGTGTTATTTGTGCTGTATCCTGTACTTATTAGTTGGTCATGAGATAATTTAATGAGGATTCTATAATAATCAAAGCAGAATGTGTCAAGAGGACTAATGAGAAATAAGACAATATTGTAATATAATAACCAAAATTTTAAAGAAATATAGTTTCAGGGAAAATGTTCTCATACTAAAATAATGCTGTGAAATATCCTCCCATGGGAAGTGTGAGCACTTCAGTTATTCAAAACCAGCCTGGAAACAGCATTAAAAAATATACCCCTGGGAGTAATTTTATACAGTGGTTGAGTCGATTAAGAGCCTAATAGGCCTTTCCCATATCTACTTGTTATGACAAGTAAAATAGCAACTTTCACATAGTACTTGCCATTGGAAAATACAAATTAAAAAATAATGTGACCAGTGCAGGTAACATGATTCTTTTAATAAAATATAGTCACATTTTACTAACCTATAAAATAATAGGAGCAATGATTTTCAAAGAGTTTGAAAATAAAGAAGGTTATGAAGTGTTGTCAAGATCCATTGCATATTTTTATTCACACATATTACTTCTCTGGACAAATAATTCTAGAAGCAGAAAAGAGGAAAAGAAAGGGAGCTAATGTAATAAAAAGGAAAAAAATTAATTGGAGGGAAAACAGAAAACATATGCTAAGCACTCAAGGGGCATCAAGCTTTAATGGGACCAATTCAAGAAGTATTTATTCATACTAAAATAAAAAGAAATCCACATGTTTCTGTTTTGAATGTGTTAAAGAAGTACATAATTGTTCTCACTCTCTTTTACGAATACACGTCTTTTACTGGTAGCAATATCATTTTTAAGATCTCATATAAAAATATTTCATTGCTTAAGCTTTTGAATATCTGTTTCATGATATTTCTGTTCATTTTTCATCATTGAAAGTAAGTGAATATGTTGAAAGATAATGTGAACTCTAACTCCAGATACATAATATTTATAGTACTGTATACTTATTTAAAAAATATAAGTCTAGGAATCTTTGAAAACAGCAAAAGCCAACTAAATAATGTCTAAATATGTGCATGGTTATGCTTCAGTTGTGTTATGTAGATATGATTTTTTAATTTTTAATATTTTAATAATAGCAGAGAACATGGGATCTTTCTCTTCTTTTACATTCATTACTACATATGACAACAAAACAATTCAGTGCTTACTCTCTTCCAGGCTGTTTATATTAAATAATCCTCACAGAGCTCTGGCTCATATGGCTCAGTGGATTGATTGCCAGCCTGCGAACCCAAAGGTCACTGGTTTGATTACCATTCAGGATCATGGTGGGTTGCAGGCCAGGTCTCCGGTGGGGGGCACACAAGAGGCAACCACACATTTATGCTTCTCTTTCTCTTTTTCTCCCTCCTTTCCCCTCATCTAAAAATAAATAAATAAAATATTTTAAAAAAATAAA